ACGCAACGTACCAGCATATATCCCCATAGCCTCAATCCCTCGACTCCGGAAGATCAGTCCCGATATTGGGGGACCAAGAAGACCTCCACTTGCAAGGAACGTCATCAATAGACCTATTCTGCGCCCCAAATCGCGATTCGTATCACCTGGTTCACCAGTCTCGATGACGGGAACGGATACGAGGGATCCATACGGACCCGATGAAAATCTAGAAATATAAGAGTGAGGGTGTGTAAGCGCAGTCAAAAGCTTCTCTAAATTACCCATAGATCACAGTAACCGCAATGAGTCCACCAGTAGACCTCGTGAACGGCCAAACGCAAGTCATCACGCCCGTTAATGCCGTAAATGGTATGAGAACATTCATCGCACCTGTACATCCATGATGAGCAATGAAGTAGACTACGATCTCAGATGACTCACCAAATCTATCAGCAAACAGTCCGGCTCCAATCCTCCCTATGCCGCCACTAGCATTGGCTATTGATACAAGGTAGAAGGAAAATGATTCGGATACACCGATCGACGTCGCTGTTGCACTGACGTAGGTAAGGACTACAGGAAAGCCATTTACTTCTCAACAAATGTAAAAAAGGTGTACAATGCTCACGCGTATAGAATCCCAGGTATACAAAGAATGTCGATATGCAATAAATGGTGAACGCTGGAGACCTGAATTGTTTGAACATCCGTAGGTTGAAAACACCTTCTGAGCTTGGAACGGGAGGTATTCTCCGCTTTAGAGTCTAGGTAAGGCAATTGCAAGATCAGCATTTGTGGCGAAAAATATTGTGAAAACCCACGAGATTCGCTGCAGTGAGACCAGCAAATAGGATGAATCCGACGATGCGGACGGCCCATGCGAATCTAAGTAAGAAATATGGTATGAGTGACCACATATCTAGACGAATGCACACGTACCCGACTTTCGGGATCAAACTCCTCACCACAATAGGGATTACTGTTCCCCCAATGGAAGATCCGGTAGCGAACAAGCCCAAGGCGAACCCACGTCTCTTCTTGAACCACATTGCCAATATCGCAGTCACGGGCCCGAAAAATGTCCCACAGGCTAACTTTGAGAAACACGAAGTTATAACAGTGTTTGATGAAATTGGCAGAAAAAAAGATGGAATTCATCTTACACCAGTCGCAAATCCTTGGCAAAGGAGAAACTGCCAGTACTCCTTGCATTCAGGGATCAGGAATGTGGCGAGAATCAATAAGGCGCTAGCAGGTATGAACACACTGCGGAAGTATCCCAGGTCGAAGAGTCTCCCTATGGGGAGCCCAGGAAGGAAGACAAGAGCATACTGATTAAATGAATATTTAGCAACACCGGTTATAGACATACGGCATACCTGAATAGAACCTATCCAAGCTCTGTGGATTCAGGACAAGATGAAGTAAATACGTCAAACGGTGGAACAAAGAGACGCAACACTCGCATATCTGAAGGCGAAGAATGTGATAAGACGTTTCGCTGGTAATATTCTTGAAAGACCTGGCGACCACAATGAGCAGAAGTGTTCTGAGATTTGAAAGTATTCACTTACCCCCCACGCATTCACATACCCGAACCTATTCGCAAAGATGAGGATTAGGAACTTAAACTGGACGCTAAAAAGAAGGCACTAACGTTGTAAACGTGCTGCACATGGCCTAGAACATGCACAGTCAGCATTAATACTTGAATCATTTGCACAGGACGCGACGCACCCCAAAAACGACCAGCCAAGCCTGCAGGCCTCCATCAGGTGGTTCCAAATCATTTTGAGGCGAAATCACAGCTGGTACTGCACGAACATCACCCTCAGCTTTTCCATAGTGATCCATCCTTTCAGCAATACCGTCATCTTCACTCAATTCAACTGGTTTATAGTCCGTCACCACCGGGACCTCCTTGTCATTGGTTATTTCTGAACCCTTCTCCGGAACATCATTGGTTGAGTTGTTATGAAATTCAGAACTGGGAGAAGGTGGAAGAGCGACAGATCTTACACCACTGTTTCGAGAAGTAGTGGAAGACGGTCGAGGATACATCTTCTTCAAACTTTCAATTCCAGTCGAGGTGGTGGTTTAAGACGAGTTGAAAAAGAGATGAAGCGGTGATAGAAGTCTACGGCCCTACAGCTTGAGTACTAATACCAGTCTGATCGAAGCAATGCGCCGCTGGAGCGGGGAGGATCCTCGCAGGTAGCGGCTCCGCAAAGCAGTTGGTACATTATGTACCATTGCGGGAGAAGTAGCTAAAGAGCACGGGGTTGATGGTTACATATCAAGAACTTCATCAAGAACAAGGCGGAAGCAAGTGGAACTCACACTGAGAAGATATATGTTGCATGTATATGTAGACAATTCACGAGAGAATCAACTGCCTCGGTTCAATTAAGGTACCGCATGTCTTCCAATTATCCTACTGCTTGGCTCAAAAAAGTGATTGTGCAGCCTGTTCTAATGCCAAGGTCTTCTGTGAGGCCCAGAAAAGTGCTGTAGATTTCGCGATAAACTTCTAGCACTGCTAAGGGCGTTAAAGCGGTCATTGACAGGACGAATCGTCGCTGCTAGGCTTTGAAACGACATACTAGAATAAGAGGATATCAACGGCAATGCGTGGCTGGATACTTCGCTGACTCACTGCACAGCAAACAGACCAAAAAGAGTCGTGCATAAATCCATGAGGAATAAAGATCCTTTCTCCAATACTCAGGAATCTACTTTACGCTTAAATTAGGCTCTTTCGTGGTTTCGACTCTAGATACCTCCTAACGACAGCACAAAAACACGCCGGTGGAGAGATAAATTGATGTCAAGTAGTCTGTGGATGGCCGATGACTGGTGTTGGAGAACAGAATATCATTCCCACTTAATATTCCTCCATTCGAATCATGTTTTTCGCAACATTCTCTTTATTGAGCTGAGAATGTCGTCGCGTACGTTGCGCTTGTATGCAAATGACTTCTGGGTTATGAGTAGAAGAGTCCTCGAAGAAATCAGGGGATGTAGAATGCAAAAATTTGATATGAAGGAACACGGAAGAAAAACATTCGAGGAAGTTCGAGGACAATCCGGATACTCGGGTCCGACCACCCGGCGTGTATTACTGTACTCCAACTTTAACATTTCTTTGTACTCGAGCCGCGTAATCCTAATCCTATCCCCAACATTCAAACTACCACTACCTCAACTTACACGAATTGCCACTGATACCATGAATCTAACTTTTGTTACCGATCTTGGAGAAACGTTTTCAATCGAAATCGATCCAGACATGGAACTGGAAACAGTCATGGTGCTTTTGGAGGCCGAGGTTCGACACATTATTCTAATCTGCAGAAGGGGTAATATTGACATTTTCCTTTAGTCCGGAATACCAACCACAGACCAGTCTATCTCATATCAAAATAATGACCTAACATCTTCACCTTCATCACTAAAACGAACGCTTCGCCAACTGAACGTTTCTGATTCCGCGATGCTGAGCCTTCGAAGAAAGGCGATGATTGCTCCATCAGGACAATCTGTGGACCACGACTCGGAAACAATGCGTCTGCAACTACTAGGCTCTCCAGACCTGATGTCTCAACTAGAGCAACACCAACCGGAAATTGCGTCTGCGGCAAGAAATAATCCTGCTCGATTTGCCGAGCTTTTGCGACAGACAAGAACGACCCAGCAACAAACAGCGGACTTAGAGGCTCAGCAAGAACTCAGTCTTATGAACGCAGATCCATTTGATGTCGAGGCTCAGCGGAAGATAGAAGAGAGGATACGGCAGCAAGCGGTTCTCGATAACATGGCTCACGCGATCGAATGGAGTCCAGAGAGCTTTGGCAGAGTTACTATGTTATAGTCAGTGTGGTTTGAGCCTTCATTTCCATTTATTCCCTGATTTTATTCCAAGCATCGACGCAGAAGTAAACGGTACACCGGTCAAAGCATTCGTGGATAGTGGCGCTCAACAAACCATTAGTGCGTATTCCATTTATGTTCATCTTGCGATGAACTCATTCGTTCCCTATACAGTATCTCCAGAATACGCAGAAAAATGCGGGTAAGGGCGCGTCTCTACGTTGTGTCATACGCCGTACATTTGACTTCCGATTTAGTATCATGCGTCTTCTTGACACCCGATTCGCGGGTATAGCTCGTGGAGTCGGTACTGCTAAAATCCTGGGGCGGGTGCATTCAACTCAGTTCAAAGTGGCAGATCTGCACTTACCGTGTAGTTTCACGATTATGGAGGTTTGTTCGCTAGCTTCATTTGGTTCCTCCTCGCTCACGATACCTACAGGGTCGCGATGTCGATCTTCTGCTCGGTCTCGACATGCTCAAGTCTTATCAGGCCTCTATCGATCTAGAAAAGAACGTTCTCCGAATTCAAGGGCGTGAAATACCTTTCTTGGCAGAACACGAGCTTCCTGCTAAAGCAAGAGGTCTTGAGGAGGAGGAAGAGGCTCTCAATTCCGCTCTCAATGCCAGTCGTAATGCAGGTATATACTCTTTCCAATCTACTGTTATTACTGTGGCCTCATCATATGTTCTGCCAGGTCCTTCAACTGGATCACAACATTTCCCTGGAGGCGGCGCCACATTAGGCGGGACACCGGGACCCAGACTGGCCACAGCAGGTGCAGCTACTCCAGGTGCGTCTAACATCCGCGCTGCTCCTAGACCTCCTGCAGCACCCTCCGCCCATGGCCCCGCATCTCGTAGCTCTGCCAGCTCCCTATCACATCCTGCATCTAGTGCCCGACAAACTCATCCTGAAGCAAATATCGCCGTACTAATGGACCTTGGGGCTACACGCGAAATTGCGATTTCGATGCTGGATGCTACAGGAGGCAATGTAGATGCAGCGGCTAGTTTGATGTTTTGACCATGATGTCCCATGCTTGAGCGTAATAACACTTGTTGTACTTGTATAAGTATCTGCTCTGTTTTCTGTACTTCCACTATCATAGCGCTCATACAGCGACGATAAGTGGGCTTCAAAGGAATCCAATGTGGTGTAGTGGCCAACATTGCTGTCTTTCACACAGCAGCCCGGGGTTCGATTCCCCGCATTGGAATCCTTTTTCCCCGGGTGTTTTGAAATTAGGCGCTGGCCCAGGCGTGACGCCCTCAGGCTCTCTGTGTAATTTTCTCATCGTCGACGACAATGTTACATGCCACAATTCCAACAGATGCAGAAGATATTCTAATGCGTTCAAATGATTCTGATGACGAAGTCAGCCACTCGTGAGTTTTTCTTCGGCTTCATGTTCGTGTCGATGATTCTTGGAACTAATATGCAGCCCCAAATTTAATAGCCAGTCTGAAGACCAAAAGCGGCTGCTTGACGTCCCGGAGGCATTTTACGGAGACGAAACAAGGTCCAAGTATGTCATACATTATATTATCTCAGAGAGGGAAATCGAACCTAATCGAACTGAACAAAAAACCACAAGCATGGAAGTTGGTTTGCTTGAACCCCCCAGGCCAAAGGCAATATTGAAGCGGGTGAAACATTGCAGCCGGTCGCGAGAATTGCTCAACAATTCTGACAATAAGAAAAGTGCTGAAATAGAGAATTGGGTAGGTTGACATTTAATCGTTCTACTGTTAAATTTTGAACTTGGGGCCGGGAAGCTGGATAGGGTGGACTTATTGCTGCCAGATCCCTACGAGGTTGCTTTTTCAATCAAAATAGTCGCCCCGCCATCTTGTACAACTCTGGTACCTACTCTTACACACATGGAATATTCGATCTCTTCGAGCCCGTCTCAAGTCCCCCCTTCGGTACATCTTGCCAGGCGTTTGGCTGCTGCGCCACCAGTCGAGAACGTGTTTGTCGAAAATTTTACTGTGGTCCTACCAAATAAAACTGTTACGTTCACTATGGCAGATATCTCCGAATTTCCAAGAGTGAAGATGCCTCGATCCCCTCAGCCATACTTGGAAAAGTTGTTGAGCTTCTGGGACGATGATCTTCAAACCTGGGATGCATGTATCTGTCCTCTGGTTGGAGGAACGAGGATAGCTGCCAAGCATTGGAAGATCATTTTCTCGAAGGCTGGACATTGGAAAGTTTCGACAAATAGAACGCAGTGGCATACATGGAGGGTAAGAGATCGCACATAAATATCTCAAATGATTTACGGTGCAAAAACTCTTCTACAGGCGTTGATCGAGGTATTGCAAAGGTTCGACAACTGTCCCGAAAAGCTTTGCAAAAAGTACCACAATTCAACTATCAGAGACATCGCGACTGCATCCCGGAAATAATCTTTTCTCTCATGATGAAAACTGAGAGGAAATTCTTGGTGCTACGTGCAAGAACGGACATCCGGCAAAGCTACAGTACGCAGTTTGCATGATAGTGATACTTGTAATAATGATCTTGTCCCTGTTAATGTGTAAATACTGTATCAATATCAAGAATTGTTTTATACTGTAAAACCTTTATTTAGAAAAAGATACAGTACAGGCTCATTGCTTATTGCCGTCATGTCATCACCGATGTTACATTGCCATTGTCCCCTTCTCCACAGCCTCTCCCATCTTACTTATACTATGGCCATTCTCCAGGGCCATTAATTATTGTTGGGACCGCTCCAGTAGTTGCGACAGGCATTCACAATGCAAGCATCTTTTTTGACATCGTTAAAACCTTATTTTAAGGTTTTTTTCTCCGCACCTTGCGCAACCGGGTAAATAGAACTCTCAAGATTGAGAGTTGATAACACAAGTGTTAGGGAGTCGGGATTCTGCGGTTCGATTTCCCTATATGCGCGTATTTTGGTGCAATGTATGCGCTAGCTGTCAGCACGGTACTCCGGCACTACTAGCTCCATTCTCAAGCGTTATACAACTTTATTTCTATCGTTATTTGCATCTCCTTGACTCGTTGAATGAATGTGTGTGTTCTAGATATCTACCCCGAAAATAACAAATGTGTGTAAAAGTACAAAACTAAGGTGCAACTTGAACTCCGAGTCATTATGAATGTATCCCTGCCGAGATAGCATCTAAGAGAATGTCTTTATAGTCCCCCCCAGCTTCCCACATAGCAAAGCCTTTAAGCCCAGCTCCTTTGATGAATTTACCTTTGGAGGTAAACGATTGCGCATTGTCAAAAGATACCATGATGTTGGAGTCGGGATTGTATACATAGGGCTGGTGGAAAAACGGAGCCGACGCGTCAGTATCATCTCCCCATCATGGTGATCCGCTTACCGTTTGGCTACAGGCGTCGAATCGATGTGGAATTTTGTCCACATAATCCCCGTTCTGGTCGAGGTACCCGTTTTCGATCAAGCCCCAAAAATTGTAGTTACCTAGTAACGTGAACGAAGGGGACTCTAAGTGAAGCACTGGCTAGAAATATCCACCGAACTCACCCCCACTAGGCTCATGGTGACCACAAGCATCAGGACCCCCATCATCGTCCCAAGAATCTCCATGAGGGAAGGCCGACTTGTCAAAGGGGGGATATGGGGCAAGTTCCGTGGTGGACCCGCTCATGTATGCATCGTCGTGACTCACAACGAACGAGTGTCCGTATGAAGCAACGCCTAGCACGATTTTGTCCAGCGGCATACCCGCACTGTTCCAGTTCTTCACTGCAGTGGCAGCCGATCCTTGTTGATTCTCACTAGCGGCACAAGAGTCGGCCAAAGGCGAGTTCGGGCCCACTGCCGCGCTCCAGGAGCCCCAAACATCGTAATTCATGATTGCAATAAAGTCGAGGACTTCCGCGAAGCCAGAGACGTCTGTAAGAGGATCACCAGACGGGCCGGAGAAGGTAGCGATACCCGTGGCGGCGGACAGACTGAGTTTCATTCCGACTGGGTCCTGGCGCAGCTCTTGGAGAAACTCAAGAAAGTTCCCCGCATCACTAGTGTTGATCACATTACAGCCGATGCCTTGTTTGTTAGGATACTCCCAACTACACACATTGAGCAAAAAAATGCGCATATATGCTGTTTCAAAATACGCACTCGAAGTTGATCCCATCCAAGCCGTACTTAGACGTGAAGTCTGTCACAGTTTTGACGAAGGCAGTACGGTTTTCAGCTGAACCTACAGCAGAGGAGAAGTACATAGATCCTGCCCAACCGCCCATCGCAATCAAAGCTTTCACGTTCTAATACCCAACATTAGAAATGCAATAGGCAAGAAGATGACACTGAGTACAGACGTTCTGATGAGCAGTTTGAACAAATCCTGGGAGCTTGTCACCCTCAGACCCGTCCAGACTGAGCTGGGTGACATCCTGTGTAGGTACACTGTGGTCTCTTGAGCCTAGTATAGGAGATAGACTGAACATATTCTTACGCGAAGGAATACGCCATATGAGTATACTTCTCCCAACTTATATCAGGAGTACCAAATGAAGGAGTTGAGTCCTGATGCCAGCCAGCGAACCACGCAGCAGCGATGAAATCGCTGTCTCTGCGACGAATTTGGACTTGGAGCGCGTCCCTAGCATGAATATGTTCGTGATGGTGTTCGTGATGGTCATGATGTTCATGTGAAGCTGAAACGAGCAAGGAAAAGGCGGAAAGATAAAGGAAAAAGGATTTTGAGAAATAAAAAATCATGACGGTTGAGAAAGGGAAAAGAAGTCTGAAGAAGGGATTATAAAGCCTCTTCCGAATTCGACTGACACAGAAGCAACGCCTCGCCCGAATTTCCCGTATGCCCAGCATCATCTGGACTCCAAAATCATCTCTGAGCTCGCTCTGCACTCACTTTGACTCAGTGGTATAATAATGTTAGGACTACAAACTGGATTAATTGGATACAAATGAGTGTGAGATATATAGTACGCAGGAGAAAACATGACCAGCATTGGACTCGCAAGCTGATAGAATAAAAATAACGACCAGAAATAAACTAAGAAGTCGCGCTCGAGAAGAGTCAGAGCGTGACATCTCTTTTTTGTAGACGGGAAGGATATAGTGTTAATGTTCAGTATTCTAGATCTGAATCAGATATCTCCTCACGAGCAGTGGTCTCTGTGAGAGTCATGGAACGATGTCTGACAAGCCGTTGAATCTGGGGGGTAGGAGGAAAATAGGCATTGAGGCATGGCGACTTCTTCAAGTTTTCAATGTCCACTTGGATGATCTCACCGCAGAACATGTCTAGGTCGAGATCGTTTTCGTCATAGCCTAAGCCAGTGAGAATGAGCATTACTGGCATACGAATGTTACAAACAACCCACCAAATGGCTGCTCAATCTCCTCGCCAGCTGCAAGGAAACCAAGGTAAATAAACGCCGCCAAAGCGACACCCGGGATAGTGTGCCATTTGAACTCGGCTACAAGCTGGAAAGGTAGGAAGAAGAGGTAGATCCAGACGGTGCTGAAGGAAATATTCGTGAGCAGAAGAAGGTGCCACTGCGACACTAATTTAACACGTACTGTTTGATGTGTACTGAGTAGACGCTAGAAATTCGTTAATCATGTCAGCATGTGCTCTTGTCATTAGTCCTGGATTTGAGTCTTACAAAGGTAGAGGTGTAGTAAGAATCTGTTCGAGGGCTAAATGGGATATATTACAGCAATTGTCTGGATAGCTCTGGAACAAACTTACCGGACAACGTCGCTTCAAGAGAAGAGACGGTACCAATAATAGAGCCCAGGCTCGTACCTACAGAGAGTAAGAGTATAATCAGCGTGGCGTACTGACAATGGAATGAAAATTGCTTACCCGGAACAGTATTTCTCTCTTCCAAAACACTGCACCACTCGCTCATGCATCTGAGAATTTCCAACGGCAGATTTTCACCACGAGCTGCAGCAGATACTGTATGCTTCTCTTTCCCGATCCTCGGTTGTAGAGGACCGCTCCATTTTCTCTGGCTCGCATCATAACCCCAAGGGTTTTTCCCTCCGGACTCCAAAGTGGAAAGCTCAGAGTATGCTTTCTTTCGGGAGAAAAGACGCTTAAGACTCCCAAATATCCCTGCAAAAGGAATGAGCTCGGTAGAAACTGCTTTCATCATGTCTTGTTCGCCGGGTTGCTGTGAAGGAGCAAGGACTTGGTGTTGGCTCTGGAAGGATGCATTGGATGGAACTCGATG